CACAACCTCATCTTCCCCACAACATCACGTAGACTCAGCCCACCGCCAACTACCACATCTTCCCCACAACATCACGTAGACTGCTGCCCAACGCCAACCACCACATCTTCCCCACAATATCACGTAGACTCAGCCCAACGCCAACTACCACATCTTCCCCACAACATCACGTAGACTGCTGCCCAACGCCAACCACCACATCTTCCCCACAACATCCTGTAGACTGCTGCCCAACGCCATCCACCACACACCACATCTTCCCCACAATATCACGTAGACTGCTGCCCAACGCCAACTACCACATCTTCCCCACAATATCACGTAGACTGCTGCCCAACGCCAACCACCACATCTTCCCCACAACATCACGTAGAATGCTGCCCAACGCCAACCACCACATCTTCCCCACAACATCACGTAGACTGCTGCCCAACACCAACCACCACACACCACATCTTCCCCACAACATCCCGTAGACTAAGCCCAATGCCAATCACCACACACCACATCTTCCCCACAACATCCCGTAGACTTAGCCCAACGCCAACTACCACACACCACATCTTCCCCACAACATCCAGTAGACTGCTGCCAACGCCAACCTCTATACATCACATCTTCCCCACAACATCCCGTAGAATGCTGCCCAACGCCAACAACCACATCTTCCCCACAACATCACGTAGACTGCTGCCCAATGCCAACCACCACACACCACATCTTCCCCACAACATCCCGTAGACTTAGCCCAACGCCAACCATCACACACCACATCTTCCACACAACATCCAGTAGACTGCTGCCCAACGCCAACCTCTATACATCACATCTTCCCCACAACATCCAGTAGAATGCTGCTCAACGCCAACCACCACACACCACATCTTCCCCACAACATCCAGTAGACTGCTGCCAACGCCAACCTCTATACATCACATCTTCCCCACAACATCCCGTAGAATGCTGCCCAACGCCAACCACCACATCTTCCCCACAACATCACGTAGACTGCTGCCCAATGCCAACCACCACACACCACATCTTCCCCACAACATCCCGTAGACTTAGCCCAACGCCAACCACCACACACCACATCTTCCCCACAACATCCAGTAGACTGCTGCCCAACGCCAACCACCACACACCACATCTTCCCCACAACATCCAGTAGACTGCTGCCCAACGCCAACCACCACACACCACATCTTCCCCACAACATCCAATAGACTGCTGCCCAACGCCAACCACCACACACCACATCTTCCCCACAACATCACGTAGACACAGCCCAACGCCAAACACTGTAGTAATAACAACATCGAGCTGGCTGAGTCTCGGCGTCAATCAAAGAGGTTTAATAATTCAATATTTTTCACCGGGGAGCGGGGGACGAGGGGTAGAGAGAAGGTGCGACGCGGATGGTTCAGTTTCACAGTTACGCCGTGTGTGCATCAGTATGTCTGTGGTACACACGCCAACATTTACCAACAGCAGAGTTTTAGTAACTGCCGCCAGCCAGTTTTAGATTAGCATAAGCCGTTGTTTGAGCTGACAGATTGTTTTAGAGGCGAGGCTGTGTAAAGGTCAATGTGATTATAATGAGGTGTTTTTTTTTTGGCGCAGGGGTGTACAACACCGTGTCTGTCTGTAGCGGTCTAGGAATGCTGCGATCGATTTAACGCCGTGTCGCCGCGTGAGTCAGCCACGCGTCATTGTGAGGCATGGTCATATCAGGTTTACTGACGGCTGCCCAATTTAAGCTCCCTGTTCTGGGATGGTGGTTGCCCATTTTAAGGTCCCTGTTCTGGGATGGTGGTTGCCCATTTTAAGCTCCCTGCTGTGGGATGGTGGTTGCTCATTTTAAGCTCCCTGTACCGGGATGGTGGTTGCTCATTTTAAGCTCCCTGTTCTGGGTTGGTGGTTGCCCATTTTAAGCTCCCTGTACCGGGATGGTGGTTGCTCATTTTAAGCTCCCTGTTCTGGGAGGGTGGTTGCTCATTTTAAGCTCCCTGTTTTGGGATGGTGGTTGCCCAATTTAAGGTCCCTGTTCTGGGATGGTGGTTGCACATTTTAAGGTCCCTGTTCTGGGATGGTGGTTGCTCATTTTAGGTTATTGTTCTTTAATGGTGGTTGCACATTTTAGGTTATTGTTCTTTAATGGTGGTTGCCCAATTTAAGGTCCCTGTTCTGGGATGGTGGTTGCCCAATTTAAGGTCTCTGTTATCAGATGGTGGTTGCCCATTTTAGGGTCCCTGTTCTAGGATGGTGGTTGCTCATTTTAAGATCCCTGTTCTGGGATGGTGGTTGCCCATTTTAAGCTCCCTGTTCTGGGGTGGTGGTTGCCCATTTTAAGCTCCCTGTTCTGGGATGGTGGTTGCTCATTTTAAGCTCCCTGCTATGGGATGGTGGTTGCCCATTTTAAGGTCCCTGTTCTGGGATGGTGGTTGCCCATTTTAAGGTCCCTGTTCTGGGATGGTGGTTGCCCATTTTAAGGTCCCTGTTCTGGGATGGTGGTTGCCCAATTTAAGCTCCCTGTTCTGGGATGGTGGTTGCCCAATTTAAGCTCCCTGTTCTGGGATGGTGGTTGCCCAATTTAAGCTCCCTGTTCTGGGATGGTGGTTGCCCAATTTAAGGTCCCTATTCTGGGATGGTGGTTGCCCATTTTAAGGTCCCTGTTCTGGGATGGTGGTTGCCCAATTTAAGCTCCCTGCTATGGGGTGGTGGTTGCCCAATTTAAGCTCCCTGTTCTGGGATGGTGGTTGCCCAATTTAAGGTCCCTATTCTGGGATGGTGGTTGCCCATTTTAAGGTCCCAGTTCTGGGATGGTGGTTGCCCATTTTAAGGTCCCTGTTCTGGGATGGTGGTTGCCCATTTTAAGGTCCCTGTTCTGGGATGGTGGTTGCCCATTTTAAGGTCCCTGTTCTGGGATGGTGGTTGCCCATTTTAAGGTCCCTGTTCTGGGATGGTGGTTGCCCATGATCTGATCTGATAGTTGCCTACATTATGGTTGACAGTATATAGTTGCTTGCATTAAGGTTAACATTCAGATGGTTAACTACATTAAGGTTAACATTCAGATGGTTGCCTACATTATGGTTAACATTCAGATGGTTGTCAATATAAAGGTTAACATTCAGATCATTGCCTTCATTAAGGTTAACATTCAGAAGGTTGCCTACATTAAGGTTAGCATTCAAATCATTGCCTTCATTGCTATCCACTAAAGATGTATGGCTTAACCTATTAATAATGGTTTAGACACATAAAAATAATCACTGTTAGTACAAAAAAAATTGTTAAGTTTTAATTATCTGAAAAAGGCAGACATATCTAATCCAAGTTGAAGATGCAATGTTTTCTACAACTACAGTTTAATCAGGTTAATTGCAGTTCTGGTGGCCAATTATATCCCAGGGCAGTTATTGTTGGCCAGTTATATCCCAGTGGAGTTATTGTTGGCCAGTTATATCCCAGTGCAGTTATTGTTGGCCAGTTATATCCCAGTGCAGTTATTGTTGGCCAATTATATCCCACTGCAGTTATTGTTGGCCAGTTATATCCCAGTACAGTTATTGTTGGCCACTTATATCCCAGTGCAGTTATTGTTGGCCAGTTCTATCCCAGTACAGTTATTGTTGGCCACTTATATCCCAGTGCAGTTATTGTTGGCCAATTATATCCCAGTGCAGTTATTGTTGGCCAATTATATCCCAGTGCAGTTATTGTTGGCCAATTATATCCCAGTGCAGTTATTGTTGGCCAGTTCTATCCCAGTGCAGCTATTGTTGGCCAATTATATCCCAGTGCAGTTATTGTTGGCCAATTATATCCAAGTGAAGTTATTGTTGGCCAATTATATCCCAGTGCAGTTATTGTTGGCCAATTATATCCCAGTGCAGTTATTGTTGGCCAATTATTATATCCCAGTGCAGTTATTGTTGGCCAATTATATCCCAGTGCAGTTATTGTTGGCCACTTATATCCCAGTGCAGTTATTGTTGGCCAGTTATATCCCAGTGCAGTTATTGTTGGCCAGTTGTAACTCAGTGCAGTTATTGTTGGCCATTTGTATCCCAGTGCAGTTATTGTTGGCCGATTTTATCCCAGTGCAGATACTGTTGGCCAATTGTATCCCAGTGCAGTTATTAATATAAAAAATAATATATAAAAGTATATTCCAGTAGCTAGTGCTGGCCAAAAAAATCCCAGTTTTGTAATGACTGGCCAAGTTTATTGCTGTTGTGTTGTGAGTAGCCATGTATATTCCAGTAGCCTAATATTATAATTGGCCAAGCATATCATAGTGGTGTTTATGTTGGCCAATCATTACCCGCTGGTAATGCTATAGGTGGCCAAGTCAATCTTGATGCCAAGGTTGACCATCTAAATTTTATTGCCATTATAAATGGTAAGGTAATCTTCCATTACTGATTAAGTTGGCAAATAATGTCCAGTAAGATTATTTTAAGCAGTCAACCTTATTTTTTTTTCACAAAAAGAAAAACATTTTAGTGGTGTATTTTTAAAAAGGCAACTAGTCTTAATGTCAGTGATTAATGAAGTATAATGACACATTTAGAAAATATTAATTTTGTTTAGATACAGCTATAGACTTCACACAATAGCCAAATAAAATGTAATCAAAACATAGTTCAACAAATAGTTTAGACAGTCATTAAAATGTACTCAACTTACTGGTTTTTGATAACCAGTAAATTAGCTCCATTTAGTATTCAGGCAATATCCATTTCACTAATGGATCAACATCTAACCAAGACTGGTATGATCAATGTCTAAATTTACACACAGACAACTAGCTAGCTATTGATTGGGTACACAACAAGGTGAGCCTGTGGGGGGGGGGGGGGACCCATAGAGGAACAACAAAGGCTTTTTATCCATTGTCAAGGGACATCACAAAATGAAAAAAATGTTGACAAAAAGAGTTATATGGGTGCGGTGGGAAGGGGTGTGTAAAATATAAAAATAAATCAACTCACCAAATCCTGAGGCCTGGAATCAACAAGTAGAAAGATGGCCAGAGAAACAAGTCCTGGTAACAATGCTGCCATGTTGGCTTCTCTCTATGCTAGTCAGGCTCGGACTGCCTGAGATGATCTCACGTGGTTGGGGCTAGAGAAGGGAGAGGCAGGCAGGACATGAGATCATTTTATTGATTAGTACTGGTTCCAGCACGGTAGGGTACAGCAGCAATTCTCACACACTTCAAGCTTGCCACTAAATGCCAATTATACCTTCCACAGTCTCGCAGCTACCATTCTTTCTTTCTTGCATTAACCCCTGCCTTATAATTGCTTGTTTACTAATGACACCAAAATATAATTTCATAGTCAGTTTTCATGATTTACACTGTTTATTTAAGGACTGATGTTATAAATTCAGTCTATGAAAACCTTTATTGATCACAATCTAGGTACTTTTTTGTAATAATAAATTTACCAACGCCCACATAGTTTTGAGACCAATAGTTTATAAGCTAAGCAAACAGAGATTTTAGATGAAGTTAATGTCAGAACCTAGGTCAATATTTGCTTGAAGACTTACAATTGTGTTAGTTTAACATTGTATATTTACTGTGAACATTAACTATTTTTACAGTTCCTTATTTACAACATTGAACATAATTAACAAAAGTGTTTTATCTAAAGTGATTTAACTCAATCAGGAGGCTGTACATAAATGTCATCATACAACTGGATAAGGGCATGGGGGGAGAGGGGGAGTAGGATGGTTCTGAATTCCAAAGGGTATGGTGTGGGGCTAAAAATTGAAATGTAGCAATTTTGTTATATTTGTGGAGATTTTTTGACATCACTGGGGAGGGGTCTTGGCTTTATTATATAAAATTGTATGCTATATATACTTTAAAATGGACTGAGGAAAGCAGTTGAGTTTATTATAGTGAAGTGAATAGTGAAACTCTATTTAGTGGTGCAAGTAAAAGGCTTTAAAATGAATGCCTGAAAAGAAACACATGAAGAGTGAGCACACGTTTCTAACTCAAGAGACACATCTTGCTATTGAGTCAGGGAGGGTGGGAGACAGGTAGACAGCATGACTGGAAGCCTGCAGTTTCAGAGTTTGGTTCTCATGTTTATGTAACTGGGGTGTCCACGTGATGGGCATCTGTGTTGGTAAAGGTGGCTGGGCATGGTGCTGACCATACACACACACTGAGTCACACAAACATTAACTGTGTTGGTAAAGGTGGCTGGGCATGGTGCTGACCATACACACACACACACACACTGAGTCACACATACATTAACTGTGTTGGTAAAGGTGGCTGGGCATGGTGCTGACCATACACCCACACACTGAGTCACACAGACATTAACTGTGTTGGTAAAGGTGGCTGGGCATGGTGCTGACCATACACCCACACTGAGTCACACAGACATTAACTGTGTTGGTAAAGGTGGCTGGGCATGGTGCTGACCATACACACACACTGAGTCACACAGACATGAACTGTGTTGGTAAAGGTGGCTGGGCATGGTGCTGACCATACACACACACACACACACTGAGTCACACAGACATGAACTGTGTTGGTAAAGGTGGCTGGGCATGGTGCTGACCACACACACACACACTGAGTCACACAGACATGAACTGTGTTGGTAAAGGTGGCTGGGCATGATGCTGACCACACACACACTGAGTCACACAGACATGAACTGTGTTGGTAAAGGTGGCTGGGCATGATGCTGACCACACACACACTGAGTCACACAGACATGAACTGTGTTGGTAAAGGTGGCTGGGCATGGTGCTGACCATACACACACACTGAGTCACACAGACATGAACTGTGTTGGTAAAGGTGGCTGGGCATGGTGCTGACCATACACCCACACTGAGTCACACAGACAAGAACTGTGTTGGTAAAGGTGGCTGGGCATGGTGCTGACCATACACACACACTGAGTCACACAGACATGAACTGTGTTGGTAAAGGTGGCTGGGCATGGTGCTGAGCACACACACACTGAGTCACACAGACATTAACTGTGTTGGTAAAGGTGGCTGGGCATGATGCTGAGCACACACACACTGAGTCACACAGACATTAACTGTGTTGGTAAAGGTGGCTGGGCATGGTGCTGACCATACACCAACACTAAGTCACACAGACATGAACTGTGTTGGTAAAGGTGGCTGGGCATGATGCTGACCACACACACACACTGAGTCACACAGACATGAACTGTGTTGGTAAAGGTGGCTGGGCATGGTGCTGACCATACACACACACTGAGTCACACAGACATGAACTGTGTTGGTAAAGGTGGCTGGGCATGGTGCTGACCATACACCAACACTAAGTCACACAGACATGAACTGTGTTGGTAAAGGTGGCTGGGCATGGTGCTGACCATACACACACACACACACTGAGTCACACAGACATGAACTGTGTTGGTAAAGGTGGCTGGGCATGGTGCTGACCATACACACACACTGAGTCACACAGACATGAACTGTGTTGGTAAAGGTGGCTGGGCATGATGCTGACCATACACACACACTGAGTCACACAGACATGAACTGTGTTGGAAATGTGGCTGGGCATGATGCTGACCACACACACACTGAGACACCCAGACATGAACTGTGTTGGTAAAGGTGGCTGGGCATGGTGCTGACCATATTCCCACACTAAGTCACACAGACATGAACTGTGTTGGTAAAGGTGGCTGGGCATGGTGCTGACCATACACACACACACACACTGAGTCACACAGACATGAACTGTGTTGGTAAAGGTGGCTGGGCATGGTGCTGACCATACACACACACTGAGTCACACAGACATGAACTGTGTTGGTAAAGGTGGCTGGGCATGGTGCTGACCATACACACACACTGAGTCACACAGACATGAACTGTGTTGGAAATGTGGCTGGGCATGATGCTGACCACACACACACACTGAGACACCCAGACATGAACTGTGTTGGTAAAGGTGGCTGGGCATGGTGCTGACCATACACACACACACACTGAGTCACACAGACATGAACTGTGTTGGTAAAGGTGGCTGGGCATGGTGCTGACCATACACACACACTGAGTCACACAGACATGAACTGTGTTGGTAAAGGTGGCTGGGCATGGTGCTGACCATACACACACACTGAGTCACACAGACATGAACTGTGTTGGTAAAGGTGGCTGGGCATGGTGCTGACCATACACACACACTGAGTCCCACAGACATGAACTGTGTTGGTAAAGGTGGCTGGGCATGGTGCTGACCATACACACACACTGAGTCACACAGACATGAACTGTGTTGGTAAAGGTGGCTGGGCATGGTGCTGACCATACACACACACTGAGTCACACAGACATGAACTGTGTTGGTAAAGGTGGCTGGGCATGGTGCTGACCATACACACACACTGAGTCCCACAGACATGAACTGTGTTGGTAAAGGTGGCTGGGCATGGTGCTGACCATACACACACACTGAGTCACACAGACATGAACTGTGTTGGTAAAGGTGGCTGGGCATGATGCTGACCATACACACACACTGAGTCACACAGACATGAACTGTGTTGGTAAAGGTGGCTGGGCATGGTGCTGACCATACACACACACTGAGTCACACAGACATTAACTGTGTTGGTAAAGGTGGCTGGGCATGATGCTGACCATACACCCACACTGAGTCACACAGACATTAACTGTGTTGGAAATGTGGCTGGGCATGATGCTGACCACACACACACACTAAGTCACACAGACATGAACTGTGTTGGTAAAGGTGGCTGGGCATGGTGCTGACCACACACACACACACTGAGTCACACAGACATTAACTGTGTTGGTAAAGGTGGCTGGGCATGGTGCTGACCATACACCCACACTGAGTCACACAGACATGAACTGTGTTGGTAAAGGTGGCTGGGCATGGTGCTGACCATACACACACACTGAGTCACACAGACATTAACTGTGTTGGTAAAGGTGGCTGGGCATGACTCTGACCATACACACACACTGAGTCACACAGACATGAACTCTACTTCACCCATCTGCTCTATTGGCAGCCTTAAAGGGTTCTTTACTACTATAACTTAGCATCTCAACAGATGGACTAACAATCTGTCACCAAAAAAAAGTAGAAAAAACTATAAAATCAAGGAAATATTCTAGCACCAGTTCAACAAGAAAATGTATTTTTTGTGCTAAGATGCTAATCTGTTATATAATGAAAACAATAAGTCTATCCTTGAGGGAGGTAGGGAATCTATAGACTCCACAGAAAAGAGCTCCAATGGTAAAGCCTTTTGCTGGATCAATAGAAAGTGACACAGGTAATCTAATGTAATCTACACCAAATGCAAAATGGGGAAATTATACACTAGTAAATCTGTGCAAGGGGCATGTTTTGCTGTACAAGAGGTAGGAGCAGAACATTTCCCCTCTGGTTATTTGTCATTCCCCCCCCCCCCCCCCCACTAGTAAAAAACAACTAGATAAACCCCTCCCTACCAGTTAGAGCTAGAGAAATGGATAATGATTGGTTGTGAACAGTGTTAAGGATAGGGATAGTAATAAGCTAATAATTGTTTGAGATGGAATAAGCTTATTCTGCACCAGAGGCGTAGCAACCCCTCCAGGCGCCTGGGGACAAACTTTCAATTTGGCGCCCCACCTATATATTATTTGTTTTTAATTCAAAACTACAGCTAACATGAGCTTTTAATTTTTTTCCCAACCCATTTTGGTGCCCCTAGGGTCACGCCTGAGGACATATGTACCCACCCCCCTCTTTGTTACGCCTCTGTTCTGCACTTTTTGTTGGCCGTTGTTGTATTCCATAGAACACCTAGGCAATGTACAAAATACAATTTATTATGTACTCTATTAGCCAAAATATCCGGTATAATATGCATTCTCAACGGGTGTTGTGAGTAATTGACAGGCATAATTCACCTAGGCAAAGGGGTCATAGACCATGGGGATGGGGCTAAGTCTTAGACCCTTACAAGCAACACATTCACATTTTTCTTAACAATTTATAATGATCTAATATCAGCTTAAAATAATAAAATTTCATAACTAATTTATAATAAAACTAATATTAGTGGTGAATT